ATAAATAAATAAATAAATAAACAACAATAATAACAATAATAATAATAATTATTCATATACTAGATAGTAGATTTCCTCTCTTAAAAACGATTATAGCATTTCAATGCAAGATTAATGACACATCACACTTGCTATTATTTAACCAGTGCAGAATAGACACAGAAGGTGGACAGGAACATAAAAGCAGAGCTGTTCCTTTGCTTCAGAGCAAGTGAGTAAGCTTTGCATGCTACACTACAGTTCTGCTGCACCTAAAGTTTTCTAATTTACAGCTCTCCAGAAAGACTCTCAGAGAAAAAAAACATCCCTCAGGTTCAATTTTCCATTCTTCCTCCTGAAGCATTACCTGTTCATGTATTGCAAGCTGCCTCTTGTCAGAGCACAGCCCACTTTCACCGTGGGTTACATGATAAAATGTGTTAGAATAATTCTCTGCATCCACTGCACCTTTTATCAGCAGCTAGAAAGTCATTCCTGTAGCAGGAGGAGTGGGAGGGAGAGGGTTCCCAGGGAACTGATTGAAGGATCTAATGCCCAGCTAATTTATTTTGTGGACATGATGTCAGTCATGTCATCATGTGCTTTTTCCTGTACAGAACACACACCTGCATTTGTGTAACTTGCCATAATTTGTGAAAAGCTTCCACATTTCCTACCTCATCCTTAAGTTTTCCTTTCAGGGTTAGAAAAATGCTGAACAACACGCTACTGTCCAGTTGGAAATCAGCTTCAGGTCTGAGATATCCTCCTGACTTCTGTTAACATTAAAAATGTGGGTATTTCAGGGGAACAGGTTTTTACTGCTCAATGAGATCTAACTTTATGGATCTCAGGAGGAAACCCAGGAAGCAGCTCCCCACATTCACTGAACATTTTTCTTTTTCCTCCCATTCCCTTTCTGAGGATAACTTCTGACTTTATGTCCAACTCTGGCCCAGTGTTCCTGTGTTTGAAGCACAGACAGCAGGGTATGACATGCACAGGTATTGACTTGGCTGTATAGATTGCACATGGAAGCAGCCAGATCATCCCTCCATTATAATTAGCTTTCCCACCCCTCATCATGGTTTTATTTTCAATGACTAATTGTTTGGAGGTGCTCTATCTTGAGGGTGTGTGAGAAAGGAAGAAAACATAGGATTAAAATAATGTACATCATTGCCAAAATAATCTCCTCTGCCTTGGCACAGAGAAAATTTTCAGATAGGTGAGATACAGAGAGGGATCTGGAAGGAAAACATCTGTGGAGTAGGAAGGAGTTGTATCTCATGTGTTGACTGCTTTTATCTAAAATTAGAATTATATCCATTGTCTCAGTTTTACTCCCACAGACCTACTTACATCTGTGCTTTAGACAGGGCACCTCAACTCTGTCCTCCCCAAACTGAGAAGTGGATGAGCTGTAGCTTCTCTTGTCTCATCAGCCTGGGAAGGAGCCTTAAATTGTTCAGAATCTATGCATTAATCATAGGGCATTTGAAGCTCTCCCAGAGTTGTCAGTGTGATTAAAAATGCTAATGCTTTTCTGGTTATTTTAATCTCATGTTGCTTAAGCAGCACAGTGTTAAAAGCTGCAAACAAAGAGGAGGCAAACTGAGGAGGAGCTCATCACTGCCTGGACACAGAAGTGTCTGGAGAATTAGGGACTATATATACTATTAATATGGGAAAAGGTGACGTACAGAGAAACAAAAGCAGGAAAGGTACGAATGGCAATCAGCAAGCAACCCTTGAGGGGAAATCATCTGCTTGCTTTGGTACAATCCCTGCAGGGAATTCGTGCCCTGGTGGGAGGTCATGGTCTGTAGCTGTCAGAATCATGGTGGTGAAGGTGCTCAGGCTATTTGGTGTCAAATCCCAAACATGTCACAGCCTTCTTGAGTGACATCAGTCATGTCAGCTTGATGTGGGGACAAGAAGCTCACACATCACTGCACAAATCCTGAATCAGCTTGTCACCCATGTTATTTAAAAGCAAGCAAAAGATGAGCTCAAACTTCTAATTCTGCTTAAATTAGAGCCTGGTTGGTGCTGGTGCAGCCAGGTCTACCCTGGTGATCACCTTTACTCTGCTGTCCCCAAGGATGGGACAGGCATTTGGAACATGTCTGTGACCAGCAGCACCTCCCATTTTTCCATCCTTCCCTAAACTGGAGCAGGCTGTATACAGCTCTTGGAGAGAGACAGGCTGTCCAGCAGAGGATTTCTAGTGTCTGAACAACAGTTGTTTTTGTTTCCCTGCACTGCCATCAGTATGAATTACAGAATTGTTAACGACAGTGGCCCTGAAGGGTGGTTCTCCTGGTCAGGAGCAGCTGTTCTGCAAAGTCTGGTACTTAATGTGCTTGTTGGTCTGTTCAGTGAGCCAGCCTTTGATGTTTGCAACTGTAAATACAAGGAAGGAAAAAAAAGATCTCTTTAATTCCAGTGTTATCAGCTTCAGGGCTTGCATGATCTGTACATGATCCAGAGTTTGTTCTCTTCTCTTTTTGTTTAGAAACAGGAACCACTGCAGGCCAGGCTCAGGCCCTGGGGCCCTTGCAGGCTGTGAGCAGAGAGGTTCTGGGAGCTGCTTGCTGCAGGGTAAGGGCTTTTCAGCTGTCCCCAGTTCCTTCCATCTGTGCAGGACAGCCATGAAATAACCAAGAGAGAAGATGGCTGTGGATAAATTAACTGTACCAGAAATCAGAGTCCCAGGAATCCCAGCGGCCTTCCTCAGCAAGGGCACTGCTAATGTAACTCTAATGCATTTGTTCAGGGCTTGGATTGCCCTGTTCTGGTTTAAATTGGAGCACAAGTCACATGTGAAGATAGGAGCTATCCATTTGCAATTTTGTTTCTAGTTTATATGGTGAACTGATTTCTTTGTGCTGTTTGCACAATTTCCAGCACACCAGAGCTCTCCAAATCCCCAGCTCACTCCAACCATTGATGAGAGTCTGCATGCGTATCCAAGCTCTGGACACGCTGCATCCACTGTAGTGGTTTACATTCCACCAGTCTGGAGAATCTGGTCATATCTGCTTTGGAACAAAATGTGGGTGAATTGAAATAACTTCTTCCAGCAGCATTTCCTGGAAAAGTGCTTACAGTGACACCAGAGATAATAGCAGAGGGCTTAGCTGATTCCTGCCCTTGACACGGTATTTTATTTGCACTAAAAGCACAGAGCCTGTGATAGCAGCCTAGCACTGGGTCAGCTGTGCTGATGTCAATGTAAGCCCTAAGATTTATGCCTCACATTTACCGAGCAGAGAAGCTTTGATTGTTTAAGACATGGCCTTTCCCCAGCTGTTTGTTTTTCCAAGTGCAGAGTCAGGCCAGGCTCCTGCGGCTGAGGCAGGTGTCTGGGGCAGCAGGGCCATCTGTGAGGGCTGCACCCAGCCCTCCACCTGCATCCCACCTCCCTGTGTTTGCACTTTCAGCCCCTGACCCCTCAGGTCTGCTGGCTCCTGGTGGCAGGAAAGCTGCTCTGCCTCTGCACAGCTCACCCCTCTTAGTGCCACTTACTGCCAGATCCTTCATGAGGGAACAGCCTCACAGCACTCAAACTACTCCTAAATATTAAGAGGACACAGATGTCAGTCCTTTGGGATCTGCTGGATCTCCCACTGTTGAAACATGGATTGTCTGTCAGCACTTGATGACGGTGTCTCTCCAAGTGGATGCTCTCTTCCTTGGACACCACTGCTTTGGTGAGGCTGTGCACAGTGTGTATTGCAGCTCTTAAGAAATGTCAGGCGAGAAACATTCATGCTGCTTTTGGAAGGGAAAAAAAAAAACTGTGAAAGTTTTAAGGGAAAAGAAATTCAGGAAAGCTCTTGCACCTGAATAGTCACTTATATCCAGCTTAAAAAAATGCCAGTGTTGATGTAGTGTCCAGGATAAGGCAAAATTAAAGCTTTCATTTAATACTTTTGCCAAGAAAATGTGTGATCATTAAGACCTGAAAGGCAAGATGAGCCTTTGTGAAAAGACAAGTAATAGGCTTCAAATGTTCCTAGACATGCTGTGGACTATAGTCAACATCATATTTTTGCTGTTTTTGTGGTTTTGTCTTTTTGAGAAGAAAAAGGAACCAGGGAAGCAATGTAGGAGATTGCAAAGGAAATAATTGTGCTCACCAGACCTATTTGATATCTGTGTCAGAAAGGCTCCAGGAAATGAAGTTTTTGTTAAGCATTGCTTCCCATCCAGTCCCCTTCTGGCTGGGGAGCCCTGACTGTGAAGTACAACTGTTGTCCTGCTGGGATAAAAGTCAACCATGTCTCTTCTTTCGGTGTCAGATGTAACCTCATACCAGGCAGCAGCTCTGAAGCTGGGCAATCAAAGTAAGATTACTTTTCAAATCTGAAAACTCAATCTCCAAAATATCAGCTTTCTTTAAAGCCATGTTTTCCATCAGCTGTAACACTGCCATTCCAATTCACATACATGCTCTGGACACATGGAAAGCAGAAGAGGGAAGGAAACACAAGGAGCAAAGTAAAGCTGAGCACATCTCTTCTGTTTTCTCTCTGGCAGAGCAGAAGGGACTCTGTTCATGAGGACACAAATAGGTCCCACAACAACAGTAAAAGAGCTCTCAAAGGAATTTATGAATGTAACTGTTTTATAGTAAACATTCTTTTTCTTTAGCTCTGGCTACACAACAAATGATAACATGAAATCAAACATGACACCCTACCTGCAGGACTTGACTCTGACAGATGGAGCTGTGTTTAAATATCACCATGTTGCCAGTTCCAATAAAGCAAAATACACAAAAGTTAAAAGCCAGTGGGAGAACTAAAAATGTTCGGTTCTTGGAAGTAGACCAGAAAAAGTGGGAGCAAAGAGGATGCAGGAGAAAACTCTTACATGGAGATCAGAGGAAAAAGCTGGTCACCAGAGTAGAAAACCAGAAGGACTGATAAATGTATTTCTGAAGTACTGGAATTTGATATTATCAAATATCAGCTCAAATATTTCAAGACAAGCATCGTCAAGGTGCAGATGTATTTAGATTGCTTTTTAGATTGGTAAAGATGGCATTTCCAAGATTCTTTTTAACTCTGAACAGGAGTTTTAGAGGAAATTACATCTTTTTTGGTGAAGTTTGAGATCACCTTCTGGTGTCCATCAACACAGCTCCACTGAAGTCATAATATGAATTGCCAATTATATTTAGTGAGGATCTCAAAATCTGTAGCAAATCTGATAACCCTGAAAGTAGATTGGAGTCTCCTGTGTTAATGGTGAATTTAAATAATTAAGAACTTCCACAAGTTTAGTCATAACCCAGTTTTGGAAATATGAATTGCTCAGACTTCACAACTTCTGCCTTTGATACAGTATTTACTGTCCTGCTTAAGGTAACAGCTTCTAGTTCTTGGCAATTAATATGAGAATTTCAGCTTCTGTTAAACTCTTGGGTTTGTGAAGAAACTTGCAAGTACCTTGAACATGAAAAAAAAAATAAAATCTGAAGGCAAAGAGTAAAAAATTACATTTTATAATTGAAATCTCATGGTTCTGAAGCTTCCAACTCACGATTGCTAAATTCTTTGGGCTGGCAACCCTGGGACATTGCTCAGGGTAGCTGAGTGTTTGTTCAACAAGAGTAGCCAAAGCTCTTCCCCTAAGCATATTAAAAGCCAAATACAGACTTGTCTACAGACTACTAATTGCATACTTTTCTTCCCCAAATGCGTGAAATTAAGTGATATCAATTCCAAGCACAGAGCAAACAACTTCTGCCCTTCACCTGCTGTGAGAGTTCAATTTAAAGTTCTCTTAAGCACACAGGCAAATCTTTGTATCCTCACACATGGTTGGTATGATGATTGATGTTGTTTATGACACGATGCTGCTGAGTGCCCAACCATGAGGCAGAGATTGTAATCCCACAGATTGAATGCATGTGAGGAGCCTCTTGTGTCCAGCCCCAGGGAGAGCCAGAACCCCTCAAGGAAAATTGCCTTGGAAAATTGGCATCATGTGGAGGGTGGGGTGGAGCAGGTGGCCAAGGCTCGTTACAGGAAGGGAGATTTGGAGGGAGGAGTGCAGGGTAAAAGAGTGGGTTTAGACCCCCAGTATTTGAGGTATAGTAGAGCTACAGTGTTTTCCATGAACTGTGGGTGATTTTGCAATAATCCCTGCTGATCAGGATGCTGCTTGTTGAGCTGCCTGCTGCAAGGTAAGGGATGTGTCTTTCTGCTGGATGTCACAAGCTGCTGTGGAGGTACCTTGTCCATTTGTAAAATGTCTGTCTTGCTGTTTATTTCTATTTCTGGAGCTCAGAAGTGGAATAAAGTAGGTTGTGTGTTAGTGATTGAACTGTGAGAGCATGTAGAGCTTCTCTAAGGAGAGCCAAATGCCCTAAAGTGAGGACAAATGAGATAACAAAGCTTAACTTGCTGGGACTAAAGGATTTAGTCGGGGTGTTAGAACAGCTGAGTACTGCATAATGCATCAATAAATTGTGAGACCTAGGGGCTGAAGGGCTTCTGGGCTGTACCATGGGGGTCTGGATTCAGTACAGGTTATCTTTGGCCCCCATCTAAACAAGTGGCTATGGGTAATTTGTGAATTGTTGAGCCTTTTGAATTGATGGCCTTGAGACAGAGCTTCAGCATGGGCTCCTCTCTCTTTTCTTGTATCTGCCTCTCTCTCCCCTGTTGCCCTGAGCAGCAGTCCAAGTGGTAATTCACACATCAAGTGATGTCCAATCACTTGTAATCTAGAGGTAGAGCGAGGAAATAAGTGGAGTATGGGAGGCTGATTTTTATCAGTTGACCTATAGAAATACCACTTAAACTTTTCTGCTGACTTGTGTGTAACAGTCTTCATTGTATCCAGTCCAGTGTCTTCCTTGTGTCAGTGGTTGTTGGTTTTGCCTTGTCTTAATTTGCATTTTTTTTCGTTATTATTTTTTGCAATTAAAAGTATTGGAGGAGTTGATGTTTCTGCAGGTACAATAGTACTTTTTAGTAGAGTTAGGGAACTATAAAAGGAATAAAAAAGCCATTTTCATGTTAGTGGCATGCTAGAGAGATAAGGAGGAAGAACACAATTTTACTGTAACCATTTAGCAGAAACCAGTGTAAAATGCACTGTGTGATCTTCTAGCCACATCTTGTTAAAAGCTGGCACAGAACCATCATCTTGAAGGCCTCTCTTGTAGTGGTTCATATATTACAGCTGCTTGTTTTTAAACTAGATTTTTCTTTCTGAATTATTACATTGATTCATTTGTTTCTCTCACCTCAATAGCAAAACTAATAAAACTATTTTCTTGGACAAAATAAAAGATATTGCACCTTTTAAATTACCTATGACTTTATGTTTTCCCACAGGAGTTCTTGCTTCTATTTGTGCAAACTATAAAATAATTGAGTCCAGACATCTGCCTTTCCCCCTCCCCAAACAGCTATTTCACCTTTGGTTTAACTAAGGTCTTATGCTATAACTGGATCTTCCACGATTTATTGCAATAGAAATTGCTAATACTGAAAGCTGCTATTATTGGTAGTTGCAAGCACAGGAGCTGTATTGTACCAGATACTGAAGTGCTAGTGAAGAAATAACAAGTAACTTGGATTTCTCTGACTTTCTGGCAACTTCAGCAGACTTGAACACTATTTCTTCCCTATTACTTCCATCTAGGAATGCTGTTACTATATTCTGATATTTATTAAATTTTTATCTCCTTCTGATGAAAGTATTTTCTAATTTCTTCTGTGTCTTTTTCTTCTCGGTGTGCTTAGTTAAAGGCTGTGCATATGACATATATAGTAATGAACTCAGGAGATGCAGTCTCTACTAGTAGATTAAAAGCTGCCTTTAGGTAATGTTTTTTTTCTTAGGGGATCCTCTATCAGCTCCTCTTATTGCTGTTTTTCCTGTGGGTCTGTTTTGCAGCTATCCTTTGGATACACTGAAGTGCCATAAATATTTTTTTAAGCTGTGGGGCTCCATTTGCAGAATTGCATCCCTGTGCTGAGTTTTCCCTTTGGTCCTCTTTGCTTTGTGTGGTCTGTAGACATTTCTCTTGGTACAGAGGGATGGCTCTGGGGCTGTCTGTGCTGCTGGGCTGCTCTCTGACATGGCAGGGGAGCTGCTCTCCATTAGGTGCCAAATTTGGATTAAAAGGCCCAATCCTGCAGATTCGAGTCTCTCATTAAAGAAAAAAACACCCACATATTTTAGTATCTCAAAAAACATGGTTCAAGTGTTTCAGTTTTGCAGGGAGCTTATTTCAAACCTGTCTGCTCAGTCCCAGCTGAGCACCTGATTGTGAACAACTGAACTGGAAGTTGAGTTTTGGAGCTGTGTGCTTTCTCTTGTTTTTCCCCCTTTGAGCTGTCATGGGTCTAATTACAACCTCTGTCCACATGTCTGTGGGCAGGTTTGCTGGGCACAGATTGATGTTTGCTCTCCCTGGCAGGACAGATTGGGAAAGGCACCTGCAGGGGAGTATTGATCTCCAGGCCTTGCCTGTTGCTCATCCCCGCTCTGGGTAGAATTTCAGCTTCCGATTACTGCACTTCATATTTTTATTCTTTGGGGACATATTGCAACTGAAGGAAAGAAAATAGAGGATTTTGTGAACTAAATGGTCTTCACTCACTGACAAAGTGCTGGGGATGTGGCTAAAGTGAGTTATCTGTGCTCAGTTCCCCAGCTCTGCTAGTGGGGATTCCTTGAACAAACCCCTCGAGCCTGTGCTGCTGCTGCTTCTGAGCTTGCTGATATCTGCTGGCAAATTGTGTCTGTTGCTCAGTAAGCTAAGCACTTTCTTCCAGGCTTTTTTTGAACTTAAAACTTAGTCTTTATTGAAAGTCAGCTCTAACTCCTTGGTTGCAGCCTACCTTTCTCTGTTGCCTCAGTGCAAAGAAGCAGAGTAGATGTGATTTCTTTCAGTTTGTTTCCCTTTATTCTAATTCACTCTCCTTAAAAGCAAGTTTGCTATGATAATGGCCATCAGCACTTTCTGGCCTGGAAGATGTAGTATTTATTACATAAATAATCATAATCAGCGTGAGAAAACTGCCCATTTAAAGCTTTTAACATCAGTTTGATATTCTGTTATTTCCTAAGCAGTCAAGATTTGCATTTATAAATAGCATTTATGGAATAAATTCAAATAGGAAAATTTGGTATGACTGTTTTTGCCCTCAGTTGTGCAGGTTAAGTCAATACACTTGATGGTTTATTCAGACTTAATAAACCTGAACCATAAGTAACTGCAGAAAGACTTCTGGAGCAGTCTGATCTGAGTAAGGGATGTCAATAGAATCAAGGTACTTTGGGAAAAATTTCTGGTACTTAGAGTAAGTTTTTAGAACTGAACTTCACCTGTTAATTTGGAATTGGCTAAAAGAGTCTGTGTATTTATGATGGCACCTAAAGGTACTCTCTGGCAAGGAGAACCTTATAGACCACTAGAGCAATTGCTCAGGACAAAAATCTCAGCTCAAACAGAACTGTGTTGTCTAAGAATTAAGGTTTTCTGTCTGGGAGGAATTTTTGGTCAGACCAGAGCAGTGTAGGTAATACAGAGTTTTTATGGTTTCCTCACTTTTAATTATTGGTTCTCAAATTTGTTCAGGCTGTGTTAACTAATTAATTCTTTGCCTTGTCAGTGAAATCAAACAAACCTATAGGGTGACTTAAGTCATGCTGAATGCTGTCCTTGAAGTTAGCACTGGTGACACTGTTCAGGTCTTGAACATCTCTTCAGTACGAGGAGAGGGCTGGAATGGATTCACCTCTTTGTATAACCTGGCACGAGCAGTCTCTTCTGTTGTACACCTTCTAGGCTTAATTCTTTACAAAAAGACTAGGAATATTTTTAAAACCTGAAAACTGCAATTGTCCTTTTCCTCTTTTGTGCTTCACTCAGCCTGGGTGCAACACAAAGAGCTCTGTTGTGCCTGGGCTGGGAGCAGGAGTTTTGTGGCAATTTAACTGGTGCTCTGTGCCTTTGTATCCCTGAGTCCTTCAGCAATCTCATGGCTTCAAGCAGACATTTCTTATCACTGCTCTTGATAGACACCTTTCTTCTCTGAAGGTGTTTCACAACATGCAAAGCTCTGCCTACTAGGAGTTCTCTCTGATGTGTAAATAGGCTGATTGTACTGTGTTCCAATTAAGAAAAAAAGGTTAATTTTACAAAATGTCTTCTCTCTACTTGCCACATCCAGAATAGAAACATGCAGTGTTTCTTGCAGGGAAGCTATGAATCCAGTTTGAAAGTAGTCAGAAGGCACAATTGCTGCCCAGAGGCTGATAGATAAGCACCAACTCTGTGCTGAAGCAGGTGTCTTCAGGTGTTTGTGAGCTGGCAGTTTTCTTTTGTCCTGTCAGAAAAGAAAGATGAAAACCAAATTTCTTTGGTTTGAGCTCTTGAGAGAAAAGATGCTCCTAAACAGAAGGGGATACTTACTATCTCCTGCACAGAAGTTTCCCTAGTTCACACTGATTTATGCAGATTTGTGGGAAAATCCAAGTCAGTCCCTCAGTTTTCCTCATCAATAACAAAAAAAAATTGTAAACAAATATATTCCAAAAAGGAAGATAAAAAATTTCTGCTCCTAGTTAAGCTGAGAACTGATAAAATCAAGGTTATGTTGTTGCACAAGCTGACAAGGACAAATTTGGACTGCAAAGAACAGTAGTGATTCTTGAGAAAAGGAGAGATGGTAGGAGCTTATCTAAACTTGGTGTGGAATGAAGGCAATGTTTAAAAAACCCACTCTGTACCCTGGAACTGTAAGGGTTCAGCCTTTAGTTGGATACATAAACTTTACAAAGCTCTGCAGTCCCCCTCCCAGGCACTGTGCTGATCCTGCTCCCTCCTTCCCCAGCAATCACAACTCTTCAAGGGATAAAGGCAAATGTCAAATAATGCATTCTTCTGAATATTTA